TTTCAAGACACCAATATGGCTGGGAACCCAACAAAACTCAACCGACTTAAATTTACTGTGAACAAGAAACAGCCAATGCTGGATCTCGACAACTACTGGATGAACCGGATTAAAAGACCCGAGAGCCATGAGGGCACTACGAGAGTCAACAACAACTACAAAGGAAGACTGACAACGAGAAAGCAGGAGACGAAGAGCATAGAGAATAGCATAAAGCTCCGCTGTAAAGATGCTAGTCTCCGGAGGTAAGCGACACATAAGTGTGATCAGGAAAAACAACAGAGTAGCCAACACCGTCCACAAACTTAGACCCATCAGTGAAGTCGGAAACGGAGTGCGAGTGAGAAGAAAAGAGCTCAAAGAAAAGGCGTTTTAGAACCGTAGGAGGGGTAAAAGCTTTAGTGATGTGGGTCAAGGATGTGCAAAACTGCGGAAGGGGGGGGACTCTCCACGGGGGCAAAGAAGGAAACACGGGGAGAATTATTAGAAATACAAACGGAAAGAGAATCCTGTAAGCGAGATAACTGGACAGAAAGAGGGAGGTGGTGAAGAGGAACAGGAACCGCAGGTGTGGTAAAAGTTAAAGCATGACAGAGGCGAGAGGAAGGATGTTGTAAGGACCTCGCAAGATAGCTTAGACAGTAGCGGTCACGGCGGTCCTGGAGAGACAGGAAGCCAGTGTCAACATACAAGCTAAGGACGGGAGTAGAACGAAAGGCACCAGAACTGAGGCGCAAGCCAGTATGGTGCAAAGCATCAAGACGGCGAAGAGTAGAAGGAAAAGCAGACGAGTAAGCAGAGCAACCATAATCGAGCTTAGACAGGACGAGAGAGGAATGTAAAGCAAGGAGAGTGCGCCTATCCACCCCCCAAAAAGTATGGAACAATACCTGAAGGAGGGCAAGGGTCTTAGAGCACTCAACACGGAGGTTAGAGATATGGGGAGACCAAGACAAACGAGTGTCAAGGAATAACCCCAAAAGATTCGCGGAATCTTTGTACTCAAGGGGATGACCATAAAGTGGCAAAGAGGGACGAAGAACGACCCGTTTCCGAGTAAAAGTCATGGCACAAGTCTTAGAAGTAGAGAACTTTAAGCCATGATCGGTGGCCCAGCAGGAGAATAAGGCAACAAAAGGATAGAGGACTACGCCATGGAGCATCACATTCTGGCAGCCATCCACTAAACCCCCTCACAGCGCCAACAGGCCAGATGGGGAGGTGGTATCCAGCTAAGTAAGTAATCATCAAAAGGAGGGACCAAACCGAGAAGGCTATGTAACAATATGAAAGTGCAAAATAATCAAAGAGCGCTAAATATCACCAAGAATGCCAAAACGAAAACGGAAATGCACAAGGCGAACGATGTCAAAAGTTTCCGATTCACTATAATTCTATTGAGGAAAAAGTGACCGCGAGGGACGGTCGGAAACGCAGTAAGCAAGACCAAGTATCCAGCTAATAGTTCGTGATAATTGGATTCGCCAATCAACAACCATTACAGAACAAGTATTTATTCTGGTCTTTCCGAAATCTAAACTCATCCAACGTATACCCAATGTTTTGTTTTCTCGAGTTTATTCTTTTAATACCCAATTAATATCCCGTTTGTCATGTCTATTCATCCATTTTTACACCTCGACCAAGTCATCCCTGATGCTTCGCCATTCTGGAAGGAGTAATTTCCACGTTTGTTAAATTTTCAGGTCCTAATGTGTGGGACTAACTTATACGCTGGATGCATTCTCTTGAATTAAAATTCATTTTATAGTACGGCGTCCAAAACTGAACTGCATAGCCTATATAGGGACTAACCAGAGCAAGATATACAGGAAGAGAGGGGGGGGGGGGAAAGAAACGAACGGGCTAGTGAACAGCGATCTGGATTCGTAGTCTTTAAGTGTTCGCGTTTGATCCTCGGAGGAAACAAAAGGGCAGAGTTTCTTTCCACTCTTATGCTCGTTCTGTAACAGTATATAGGTACCTGGAAGTTAGGAAGCTGCTCGAGCAACTCCAGGCATTTTATTAGTAAGGCTTCGATAAACAAGTCCCGTGTTCTATTTGCCTTATTACGTCGGTGATCAAGTGAATTACGTCTGCGACTTTCCTTTGTTTTTATTCAAAACCTTCAGCTAAAATGAATAACAATAAGAAGTTACACAAGCATTTCCTCACTGAATATGAAGAACTTCCAGGGTGACCTAAAAGTAAGTTACAAACCGTTCCTAACCAAGTTCAGATGTCCCCGAACTTGGTGGAATTATAGTGCAAGATTTAAAGGATTTTAAATTAAATAGCATTTTAAAAAATAACCACTCTTAATATCCATCACCACTTATATACAAATTACTATGAGAGGTCACCCAGAGCATCACTAGCCCTCGCGCTGGCTAGCTTCAAAGATGACGGACAATACACTCCTCGGACGAGATCTTCAACGCAACACGAGCCCTCACACTAACTGCAGTTATGGAGACGTCTTCAAGCACCTCACTTTTCTTAGCACACTCGCTAGTACGCTCAAGTGAAGTCCACAGCACTCAACTACCCCCACTGGCTAGCACCTTCCAAGAGTGAAGTCCACAGCGATCAACGTCTCAAGCGCGACCTAAGTACTTCTTCACTCTCGCTGCTTCATTGACTTCTCTCACCAGTCACCGGTAGCTCGTCACCTCCCAGCACAGCAGACTAGAAGATGGGAAACTAATATTAATGGGAGGGTCAACTATTTTAGTTCGGAACCTGGATCATAGATGGCGCCGAAATCAACTCCAAGCTCCGGCAACGGTGTTGATACCGTAACAGGAAGTTAAGGGCAGTGCTGATCAAGATGTTCAGCTGCGTCTCCATAAGTATGGCGGTGACAGTGTCGTCGTTCATCATCGTCAGGGGCTCAGTCACCTCCACCAGCTGCACGTCAATCATTACCAGCTGCAGAGCTGGTGCCGTCACCGACTGAACTGTGACGCTGGTCACGGGAACAACACTAGTCTGGAACATGGTGTTGAGGATGACCTGGTTGATGGGCAACGACGCTTGCAACACCACGATCTCTGACATTCTGCCACTCGTCCTGGTACTGCACAGTCTGGGAGACGGGACAGACAAGCGGCCGTGGCTTGTAGTAAAGGGCAGCGGCCAGCAGCACAAGCACCGCCAGGTGGATCACAACCTTAGACATGAAGTATGAGCCTAATAACCACCTGGATCCTTCACAACGTTTTCTTTAACCTTGTATTTTGAATATACAAGTATAATATGACCCTAATCACTCATTAAAATTTCCACATCCTATTCGTCAGGCTTATAATAATGGTATTCAGGCTTGAGTCCCCACATATTCTTGTGTGGATTCTTAACATTATAGTTACATAGGTCCCTCAGGATCTCCTTTAGATATGTGATTGGTTGTCGGGTAATCTTGTGGAGATCCTTAATATTCTAATACTGATGCTTTTCAAATGCGGCAAACAACAACTCCATGACCTTATGTAACAATGCACAAATGTTCGTAATTAGGCAAATTAGGACTCTGGGATTTATAAATCGAAGCGTCAGTAATAAGACACCTGGTGTTGTTCTTCAGCTATATATTGCTCTGGTTAGGCCCCATTTAGATTATACAATTCGGTTTTGGTTGCTATACTATAAAATGGATATCAATTTACTCGAACGTGTCCAGTGATGGATTACAAGGTTAATACCCGATATTAGAAACCTGTCATATGAAGGAAGATTGACAAAACTTAAACTACATTCTCTACAAAGGTGACGAATTATACGTTGACATGACAGAGGTGTACAAGTGGATGAATGGCAACAACAAAAGGGATATTATTAGGGGTATTAAAAGTATCATCACAAGACAGAATACGAAGCAATGGGTATAAATTAGATTAGTTTATATTTGGGAAAGACTTTGGTAAATACTAGTTTTGTAGCAAGGTTGTTGATTTGCGAAACAAATTATCACGTAATGTAATAGAAGTAGGATCCCTTGATTGTTTCAATCGTAGGTTAGACGTATACATGAATGAGATTGGGTTGTTTTAAATATGAGCTGTCTCGTATGGACCAAAAGGCTTTTTGCAGTTACGTTTATTCTTATGTTTTTAAGTTTAGATTTAGGAAATTCCTGGGTAAATACTTATTCGGTAACAGATTGTTGACTTGTGGAAATTACCGCATAATATAATACAAGAAAGATCCCTTGATTGTTTCAAGCTTGGGTTGAACATATATATGAAAGAGATTGGGTAGATATAAATAGGAGCTGCCTTATATGGGCCAATAGGCCTTCTGCAGTTACCTTCTGTCTTATGCTCTTAATATCCTATTAATATCTTCGTTGTTGTGTTCATTCATCCACTTGTACACCTCAATTATGTCACCACTACTTCTTCGCCTTTCTAGAGAATGCAAATAAGTCTTTGTCAATCTTTCTTTACATGACAAGCTTTAAATTTGCAGAATTAACTTTGCTGTCCTTCGCTGGACGCGTTATAGTGAATTTATATCAGAAAACGTAAATTTAAACTTGTTAAAAATATTAGAATTTATATTCATAAACAGTCTACTCATGCACATGTATAAACATACATGTCTCGTATTGTCAGTGTAACTTTATTCTTATGTTCTTAAGCGTTTGAATATTTATTGGCATCGAAAAATAACCAAAGAAACAAGTTCCATCATCCAGCAACCTCCGGCATCTACGGTAACAGCTATATAACCCTGGGCCGCCACGGGTTGGCTCATTACACATTAAACTCGCAGACTACGAGGTTGGTCACAAGCAGTACCACCATAGCAGTCACTCTCCCCATCACCTGTGTTCCCTTACCAGCACCACTTCCCACCACCAGGTGTATTCAACTACAACCACCACATCAACTAGTTTCACCAGCCGTGTTCCAGACACTTGCTGAAACACTAGCACCTGTAGGAAAGGCGTTTTATAAAGTGGTCACGTAACTACATATTTTCGTGTGTTTTCCATCATGAGCCAACAGTCTAAGACGGATTTGGATATTACGAATAGCAGCCGTGGGGTGTGGCTGGTCAAGGTACCTAAATATTTGGGGAACAAATGGGCAGACTGTGCTGGCCATGACGTTGGGAAGCTTGAGATTACCAAGGTTCCTGGAAAACCTTCAACAGTCACCTTAAAGTCAAGTGAACACACGTTAAAGGACTGCAAAATTCCTCGGGAGCACACGGTAATCTCTCATAGTCTTAAGGGAATGAGACTCGGAATATTTTCTCAACCAGTCCGCGGCAACAGTTCAGATGCTGCAGTTCCCGAGACACAGAAATTGTGCTTTGAGGGACAAGTCGTCGAAAAAGTAAGATGTCAGCCTGTAGTGGACGACTACTATATCAATCTGAAAAAAGAAGCGAAAAAGAAAGCTGCCCAGCCTCTAAACAAGGCAAAGCTTATTGACAGTCCCGTCAATGTCTATAAGCCTACTTCGCATCATGAACATGATGTTCATTTAAAACAAAGGAAGGCTGTACGTAGGATGGTTCGTGATGATAAAGATAAGGTCATGGAGTTGTTGTTTGCGGCATTTGAAAAGCATCAGTATTACTATATTAAGGATCTCCGAAAGATTACCCAACAACCAATCACATATCTAAAGGAGATCCTGAGGGACCTATGTAACTATAATGTTAAGAATCCACACAAGAATATGTGGGGACTCAAGCCTGAATACCATTATTATAAGCCTGACGAATAGGATGTGGAAATTTTAATGAGTGATTAGGGTCATATTATACTTGTATATTCAAAATACAAGGTTAAAGAAAACGTTGTGAAGGATCCAGGTGGTTATTAGGCTCATACTTCATGTCTAAGGTTGTGATCCACCTGGCGGTGCTTGTGCTGCTGGCCGCTGCCCTTTACTACAAGCCACGGCCGCTTGTCTGTCCCGTCTCCCAGACTGTGCAGTACCAGGACGAGTGGCAGAATGTCAGAGATTGTGGTGTTGCAAGCGTCGTTGCCCATCAACCAGGTCATCCTCAACACCATGTTCCAGACAAGTGTTGTTCCCGTGACCAGCGTCACAGTCCAGTCGGTGACGGCACCAGCCCTGCAGCTGGTAATGATTGACGTGCAGCTGGTGGAGGTGACTGAGCTCCTGACGGTGATGAACGTCGACACTGTCACCGCCATTGTTGTGAAGACGCAGCTGAACATCTTCACCAGCACCGCCTTTTAACTTCCTGTTACGGTATCAACACCGTTGCCGGAGCTTGGAGTGACGATTTCGGCGCCATCTATGATCCAGGTTCCGAACTAAAATAGTTGACCCTCTAATTAATATTTGTTTCCCATCTTCTAGTCTGCTGTGCTGGGAGGTGACGAGCTACCGGTGACTGGCGAGAGAAGTCAGTGAAGCAGCGAGAGTGAAGAAGTACTTTGGTCGAGCTTGAGACGTTGAGCGCTGTGGACTTTACTCTAGGAAGGTGTCAGCCAGTGGGAGGGTAGTAGTGCCGTGGACTCGACTTGAGCGTACTAGCGAGTGTGCTAAGAAAAGTGGGGTGTCTGAAGACGTCTCCATAACTGCAGCTAGCGTGATGGCTAGTGTCGCGTTGAAGACCTCGTCCGAGGACTGTAAATATTGTCGGTCACCTTTGAAGCTAGACAGCATGTGGGCTAGTGATGCTCTGGGTGACCTTGTATATAATTAGTGATGATGGATAATAAGAACGGTTATTTTTTTAAATGCTATTTAATTTCAAATCCTTAAACATTACACGATAATTCCACCAAGGTTAGGAACATCTGATCTTGGTTTTAAAAGAACCTGTTTGCAAACGGTTCGTAACACTTTCTTTTTGGTCACCCTGAAAATATTAAATGTTCAATGAGGAAAAGTAAATACTAATGGAACTTCTTATTGTTACTCATTTTAGCTCAAGGTATTGGATAATAACAAAAAAGGAAAATTGCAGACGTGATCGACGTAATAAGGCAAATGGAACAGGGATTTATTTATCGAAGCCTTCCTAATAAAACACCTGGCGTTGCTTTTCAGCTGAGGCAGCGTCATAACTTCCAGGTACCTATATACTGTAGGGACAGGCATCAAAGTGAAAGAAACTCCGCCCTTTTGTTTCTGCGGGGGATCGTCCTTCCCTCTCCTTCTTTAGGTGGCGGTTTGCTAAAGCGGACTGGCACCTATTTGCCCCCAGTGCTGCTCTCTCTGACCTCTCCCTTCTGCCTCTCCCTCGGGCTCTCCTCCTTTTCCATGACACTGTCTTCGACGCTGCTCTCTGCTCTATTCCTCGCTCTTCCTCTCGGGGTCCGGGGAAGTGCGTTCCCTGGTGGAATGCAGACTGTGCTCGGGCTGTGCGCTGTAAGCGTGCAGCCTGGAAGAGGCACTGCCGTCGGCAGCCGGCCGATTCTTTTCTTTTCTTTCGGAAAGAGTGCGGTGGCCCGTAGGGCCATCCGTACGGCTAAACGTGAATGTTGGTCATCTTATGTCTCCACAATTACGTCCGAAACTCCCCTGCCACAGATCTGGAAGCATATCCGCAAGATAGCGGGTAAGTTTGTTCCCGATGTTTCACCGGTCCTTCACCTCCGTGGTACTCTTGTGGCGGACCCGTTGCAGGTTGCTACCGAACTGGGTTCCCACTTTTCTTCTGTTAGCTCTGATGTTCATCTTCCCCAATCTTTCCTTCTTCGTAAACCTGTCCTCGAATCTCGTCTTTTTAGATTTCTGCACTCGTCTTACTTTCCTATAACGATCCCTTCTCTCTGAACTTCGTTCTGCCCTGGCCCTCTGCAATTCTCCGGCGACGGGCTCCGATGGTATTCATTATGAGATGCTTCGCCATCTCCCTCCGTGCACGTCTCGGTATTTACCGAGTCTGTATAATCGGATCTGGGAGTCGTCGTCAGTCCCTGAGGACTGGATCGATGCCGTTGTCCTTCCTGTTCGCAAGCCAGGGGTCTCTGGGAACTTCCCAAAAGGACTTTCGCCCTATTGCCCTCACAAGTTGTGTCTGCAAACTCTTTGAACGTATGGTTAACATTTGTCTGATGTGGTTCCTAGAACACCATCACCTCGTCTCCCCCTTCCCAATTTCGTTTCTGCAAGTCTTTTTTTTCGTTTCTCAATTTCGTTTCCAGGACATCTGTCGTGCCGCAGCACGACAGATGTCCTGGTGAACTTGGTCTATATTCGTACTGCTTTTGCTGCGAAGACCTCCGTTGTTGCCGTCCTTTTTGACCTGGCTTAAGCTTAAGGCTTAAGACACCACTTGGCGATATCATATTCTGTCCCCAGCTTCATTCTTTTGGCCTTCGTGGTCATCTCCCTCTTTCTCCGCAGCTTCCTCGTCGTTCCTTTTGGGTGCGCCTTGGTACCGCGCTCTGCCTCTTTTCAGCAGTACGAAGGTGTGCCCCAGGGTAGTGTTCTGAGTACTACTTTTTCTGGTTGCCCTCAATGGTCTTTTCCTAACTTCCTTCAGGTGTCTCCTCCACTCTATGTCGATGATCTTACCCTTTGCTGTCAGGGTGATGATTCGCCTCTCCTTTAGCGCCGGCTTCAACTTGCGATTGATGCCGTGTCGTCTTGGGCCACCGATCATGGCTTAAAGTTCTCTACTTCTAAGATTTGTGCCATGTCTTTTACTAGGAAACGGGTCGTTCTTCGTCCTCCTTCGGGTATTGTCCCATACTTCTTGGGTAGCGGATAGGCGCACTCTCCTTGCTTTACATTCCTCTCTCGTCCTGTCTAAGCTCGATTATGGTTGCCCTGCTTACTCGTCTGCTTCTCCTACTCTTCGCCGTCTTGATGCTTTGCACCATACTGGGTTGCGCCAGGGTTCTGGTACTTTTCGTTCGACTCCCGTCCATAGCTTGTATGTTGACACTGGCTTCCTGTCTCTCCAGGGCCGCCGTGATCGCTACTGTCTTCGCTATCTTGCGCGGTCCTTACAACATCCTACCTCTCGCCTCTGTCGTGCTTTAACTTTTACCCCTCCTGCGGTTCCTGTTCCTCTTCACCACCTCCCTCTTTCTGTCCGGTTATCTCGCCTACAGGATTCTCTCTCCGTTCGTATTTCCAATGTTTCTCCTCGTGTTGTTCCTTCTTTGCCCCCGTGGAGAGTCCCCCTTCCGCGTTTTTGTACATCCTTGTCCCGCATCACTAAAGCCTTTACCCTTCCTACGGTTCTAAAAAGCCTTTTCCTTGAGCACTTTTCTTCTCGCTCCCGCTCCGTTTCTGTCTTCACCGATGGGTCTAAGTCTGCGGACGGTGTTGGCTACTCTGTTGTTTTTCCTGATCGCACTTGTATGTGTAGCTTACCTCCGGAGACTAGCATCTTTACAGCGGAGCTTTATGCTATTCTCTATGCTCTTCGTCTCCTGCTTTCTCGTTGTCAGTCTTCCTTTGTAGTTGTTGACTCTCGTAGTGCCCTCATGGCTCTCGGGTCCTTTAATCTGGTTCATCCAGTAGTTGTCGAGATCCAGCATTGGCTGTTTCTTGCTCACAGTAAATTTAAGTCTGTTGAGTTTTGTTGGATTCCCAGCCATATTGGGGTGTCTTTAAATGAGCGTGCGGATGCTGCCGCCAGGGAAGCTGTCCGCTCTTTTCCCATCTCTCGTAAAGGTATTCCATATTTCGACTTTTACCCGGTTATCCGTTCCTCCATCCTTACCCGTTGGCAGGCTTCTTGGTCGTCTGTTACTGGTAATAAACTACGTACTCTTAAATGTTGTGTTTCCTCGTGGCCTTCCTCCTGCCACTGTAACCGGCGATGGGAAACGGCTCTGGCGAAGTTGCGTATTGGCCATACTCGCTTAACATATGGTCACTTGATGGAGCGCCGCCCTGCTCCTTATTGTCCTAGTTGCATTGTCCCTCTTACGGTCGTGCATGTCCTTCCTGAATGTCCTGACTTCCAGGACGAGCGTGTGTCTTGCTTTCCGACCGCCCCTCACGGTCACCTGTCCCTCAATAGAATTCTTAGTGACTCGGATAATTTTGATATCGTTCGCCTTATGCGTTTTTGTTCCCGTATTGGCATCCTTGGTGATATTTAGCGCCCTCTGATTATTCTGCACATTTAATGGTGCTACATAGCCTTCCCGGTTGGGTGCCTTCTTTTGATAATTACTTACTTGTGCTCCTGCTGCTGTCCTCACAAATTTTGCTGGACGCCTTTTTCTTTCCCTTTTGTATCTTTTTTTCTCCCCCCCCCCCCTCTCTTGTTTCTGTTTTGATCATTCTTTTGGCTTTCTTTTGTTTTGACGGCCAGGTGTTTGAGGAGGCATACTCTTGAACCTGTAGAACTGTAGTACCCAACGTCTCGAGCTAGGGGAATCTTTTATTGCCAATCCCCCTTTCGTCACTGAACCCGATCTCGATGGACTCACGGTTCTTAAGGTGGCGTTTATAGGGTGTATACTCACGACGCACCCCTGGGGGGCCCCAGCATGATCAGCGATAGCTTCTTGTTGGGTGTCCTGCCTCTAATTGTGGCTCCATGGTGGGTATGGGGGCACATTTGTGAATGTAAATGTCTCTTTTTTCTTCTTCATGTCATTGAATGTTTCTCTTGTACCCTTTCAGGCACGTGGAGTGGGCGACCAAGCCCCCGAGTCGGACAGTATTGGAAGGCCGAGCTCTGTAGCCCCCGCTGCGTTGAGCTTCGATCTTGCTCCTCTTGTGACCCTCCTGACTTCTCCCCTTGGCTCCCTTCCCTTCTCTGTGATTGGGTCGAG